TTTGCAGAGACCACAGCTGCCAAAAAAAGTAACCTCTGGTCAAACGTTTCTACATTTTATGCTCCTGTTGCACATTTCACTATGTCTCACTGTCCGTGTACACATCCTGCATCCTCACACGTGTCTCCCACAGAACCAGTTTCAAGATGAAATCCTTCCTCAGTCTCTTTAAATCCAACAAATCAAACATATTTAGGTTCTAAACTGAAAACTTAAATCCGTGTAAATTGCCTGGAAAGACCTGTCAAAATGACAATATTCAGATTTTTCTGTCATAAAAACTAGAACATCCACAAATATATATYAGTGTGTATCTTACCACCTCTTATCTTTAAAGGTGATTCGACCAGACTCAGTTCCTCCCAGGTCACGAAGCCTCCACCTCACGCCACTGTCGGAAGGATGTATGTTACAAAATATTTTCCTGAAAAGAGGGTGTAATGATCTTGATTTTAGCTAAAAAGTTACAGGCAGTGTTTTGTTGACAAAGCACAAATATGTCAGCCGACAACCAGAGGATTTTCCACTAACCTCAGGATGGTTTCTCTGCTTTGACCTTGGTGTTCTACTGCTCAGAATGTTTCAAACTAAAAAAAAAGCCCTACTTGATGACATAAGGCCTGATGAAAAGAACATTTGCATAAAACAAACACACATTTAATAAAACTGTGTTTTACTTTGCTCGTATTTTAAATTCTCATCGTGGATGTTGCTGTTTGTTGCACAGCTGTGAACCTTTCAGTTCCATAATATGAGTTAATGTTCTGTAAAACACTGAAGAACAGCAGCAGTAAAAGAAAAGTATTTCTTTTTTATTTTTCAGAGTTCTTCTAAGGCAGTGGTTCCCAAACGTTTCAGCCTTTTGACCCACAAAATAAAAGCAGCAGAGACCTGTACCCCCAGCTGTTGTCGGTTAATAAACATTGTTTTCACGTCAAATAAACAAGATCGTATAACATTATTTATTACGTTATTTTTGTGTATTTTAAGTACACTCATCTTATTATTTCGTAACAACAAAGGCAAAAATGTTGTTAGTTTTGTGTAATTAATTCCGAACATGTTTTCAGGACCCCACCTTGATGTTTCAGGACCCCACTCTGTGTCCCAACCCCAACTTTGGGAAACACTGTTAGGGAGAAGGTGAACGTTTTGATGCAATAACAATACATTAACAGAGCACATATTATGCAATATTAGTAATAAAGTCTGATGTGACCAAAATACAACATTGAAACATCTCAAAAATATTCATAATGTAAAGAAAATTGAGAGTTGTTGATACAAGCAGCTGCTGTCTTAGACCCAACGTGTATCAATGTTATGATGTGACCCACCATATCAAAATGAGGGTTAAGTCAAATTTAATCAAAATGACCTAATTTTCAGTTTCAGATTCTGATTCATGGCTTTAAAAGCTACATTTTGATGTATGGATTATTCTGATATCAAAAGTTTATCCAGAGATGTGACTTAATTTGTCTTGTTGGTTACGATAATATGTCACTGTTTGGTCTGAATTCTAATTTTATGTAAATTTATTGAGTCAATTATGTCGATATAAAGAGGAAACCTCAAATAGTATTTGTATTTTAAGATTTCCCAGTTGGAAAGAAACAAAAAATTTGCTAGCTCAGAGGAGAAAAAAAGTTTTAGACGTTTTTCCTCAAAATCAGTTTTTTTACTACTCAAATAAATGCTTCAAAAAAATTTTTAGGATTGTATTTCAGACAGTTCATTTAAATGATACATGAAGGCCTTAATGCATTAAATTTTGACAAAATGCAATTTTGCGCGCATTTAAATCAAAACCCTATATGTGCCTATTTCTCGTTTTGATGTGATGGGTCACATATAATG